ACCCCCCTATACCACCTCCTCTCCACCTAACCCCCCTCCTACTACTGCCACTCCTCCTAAAAACACTGGAAAATGATCTCCAGATGTCATATATAATCAGAGACCGTTTAAAACCTTCTTTTTGCAAGACACGTTAATTCATTTCTAGATAAGATAGTGCCTTGTTTAAATGCATGGGGAATTTTCTAGGCCTATGGGAGGGGGAATCATATGAATCTGATTCCTTTTTAATTTAGTGGCTTCCCCCACCTTCCCAAATCCCCCCTAGCTGTACGTGTAATTGCGAGACTGCAGTTACAAAATCTGAAAAATAATTGGGTTTGATATTTTTATTTCAGTGCATTAGTAATGGCCTACACGTTCATGGGGGCTTTTGTATTTTCTTACTTAGAACAAGGTAATTTTCATGTATTCATTGTTTTATAATGTTTATTGTTTCTTCAATAACATACTTACTAATTGATCTAATTACTTGCTGAGTAAGCAATGAGTTTCTTTATTTATTATTGACTTTAACATGATAAATTGATTAAGTGATGAGGGACATGGAGCCGTAAGCTCTGATTTTCTAATCCATATTTCTCTAAAAATTGATATTGCAGATATGTTAAACTATGTGTTCTGTAACTGTTATATCAAATAATCTAAATTTGAAATATCAAAGGTTTATACCATCAGGCAAATAGATTCTAGTACAATAGCTGGTAACGTAGAATTTGTACACTCTCAGTACATCTGTATCCTGACGTCACAAGTGTAACTCAGTTTTTTGTCCGACAAAATTATAAATAATAGTGATAATTTTAGAATAAACTGATTATCTAACAGTAAAATAAGTGAATTTTATGTGGTCTTTATTTTCTGTTGTTACAAGTTTTTATTTAATCTTGGAAACATGTCAACTAATGTGAGATAATTTAGTTTTTCTTGTTATATTCGACACTTGTGACGTCATGTATAATTGGTACATTTCTCTGTTGCCACCTATTGTACTTGATAATCTATTTGCCATCAGGTAGCAAATTTATAGGGATTAGAAAATCTGAGTTAGTGGCAAAGACTCTATTCCTTTCTTATTCTTTTATACTCTTTCAACTCATTTTGTTTTCATATTTTTTTTAAGTTTTTCATGTATTCAATATCGTTTCACTTAAACTTTTATTTATTGATTGCTTGATTGTATGCTTGCTTGATTGATTGCTTGATTGGTTTCTTGATTACTGGATTGATTGATTGCTTGATTGATTTCTGGATTGATTGAATCCTTAATTGATTGCTTGATTAATTGCTTGCTTGATTTTTTTATTAATTGGTTGATTGAATAATTGCTTGATTTATGGCTTAATGGCTTGACTGCTTAATTGCTTGATAGTGTGATTGATGGATTGATGGATCAATTGACTGATTGATTGAATAAAATAATGTTTACATGTTTGTACACTGTTCAGGGAATGAGATCTCAAACTTATTTATTGATTGCTTGCTTGATTTCTTGATTGATTGTTTGCTTAATTGATTGCCTGAAGGCATGTTACCATGAATATAACATTGTCCAGGGAACGAGATAGAAACACGTGTAAAGGTTGGATCTAATAGAAAGGATACACTGGAGCAACTTTACAATATTACAGGTTTGATACAGTCTCTCAAAAAGAATAATAAAATTAATTAGGATTGAGGAGCCCTGAATCCAAAAAATCGTTAATCCAAGAAGAAAAAAATGAGAAAAACTTTCTTAAAAAAAATAAAAGATAATTGCTTTTTAAGGCACTCATTGTATACAATTCCAGGGCTGGCTCTAAGCCAGGTGATTTATTGATAAACACACTCTAAGTGTATTTTGCTGTGGTTTTCATTTAAAATACGATGCACAATGTACACTTTAATTCCAGCCTCTTGGAAATTAAGCTTCTGAGAAATCATTTCCAGGTTCTTCAGTGAAATAAAGAAGCAGAAATGATTGCTCAAATGATGATTTCTAGAGAGCATTAAAAATACCTAATGAATCTCTCCCTATATCTGTTACAAATATATATACAAAATGCAAAACTCGCTTCAGTTTAATACTCCCTTTTTTAGAGCTCAATGTTCTTAAATAAGAATAATTTAACCCAAAGACTTCTAATTTGAATTCTATGCAAAGTTTACAAAGGTTATAGCAAGCTTCTTCATAAATTCAACAGAATACTGGACTATAGCTTGTTAAATCCGGTTATAGCAAGCTTCTTCATAAATTCAACAGAATACTGGACTATAGCTTGTTAAATCTGGTTATAGCAAGCTTCTTCATAAATTCAACAGAATACTGGACTAAAGCTTGTTAAATCCGGTTATAACAAGCTTCTTCATAAATTCAACAGAATACTGGATTGTAACTTGTTAAATCCGGTTATAGCAAGCTTCTTCATAAATTCAACAGAATACTGGATTGTAACTTGTTAAATCTGGTTATAGCAAGCTTCTTCATAAATTCAACAGAATACTGGATTGTAACTTGTTAAATCTGGTTAAAGCAAGCTTCTTCATAAATTCAACAGAATACTGGACTATAGCTTGTTAAATCCGGTTATAGCAAGTTTGTTTATAAATTCTATAACAAAATACTGGATTGTAACTTGTTAAATCTGGTTATAGCAAGCTTCTTCATAAATATAACAGAATACTGGACTATAGCTTGTTAAATCCGGTTATAGCAAGTTTGTCCATATATTCTACAGAAAACTGGACTGTAACTTGTTAAATCCGGTTTTAGCAAGTTTGTTCATAATTTTTACAGGAAACTGGACTGTAACTTGTTAAATCAGGTTATAGCAAGTTTGTTTATATATACTACAGGAAACTGGACTGTAACTTGTTAAATCCGGTTATAGCAAGCTCATTCATAAATTCTCTTTAAAAATGTTCACCAAGTTGTTGCTAAAACAAGACCAAACTTTCATGTCGGTTTAGGAAGTATAAGATTAAAGCTGTTGGAGCAGTCTATACAGATAGATGAGTTGACCCGTTCAATAAAACAGCTGACAGAACAGAGGAATCAGTGTAGACAGCTTCGGAGGAAGGAGGGACGGTTTCTACAATCTGTGATCACACAATGCAAGGGTGGGGGGTCACAGCAGTATTTTTTTCTTTCTTTTGTTAAGTGTTTATTGGAAATGAAGCATCAAATTTCTTCTGTTCATTTGGAAAGTTGACATTAAGAAATTGTACAATTGGAAAGTTGCTAAATTAAAAAATTCCTTTGAGAAATGTCCTTAGAAAGTTATTGATATTAAACTTGCATTTATTCATCATTGTGACCTTGTGATGAAAACCAGGGGACAATGTTCCATTGACTGAGGCTGAATGTCGAGAATACTGCACCAAAACCTTGCTAAAACCAAGCACTTGCAAAAAATTCTGTGATACTAAAGCTCCCCCTTGTACCTATTGGCACAGTGATACCCACAGGTTCTTGCGCAATCTAAACTGCATATAATGAGAATTTTTAAATCTATCATGTTTATTGTTTAACTCATTCAACCCACTCTTTTACAATACGACAAAAAAAATTCCGGGATACCAATTTCGAAAGATGCAAGCACTGGAAACGACACTTTCCAAAAAGATTACCTTAACAGAGAACTTCCCTAAAACAATTTCCTGTATCATTTCAAACTAACACTCTTGACAATTTGTTTTAGCTGCAGTGTTTTGACCTCTTGTTATTGTATGCAGAACTTTATTTTTTTAAAAGAATCATATTGAGAAAAAAATCTAGAAAAAAATGTCCTGTTCAGAATTTTTATACGTTTTTGTCCTGTTGCCAATTGGTAAAACAATTCACTGTCAAAATGTTGTTTAAAGTGTGGTTTTATTTTTCAATCAACCTTTCATCAAACGAAATCTTGATGTTGACTGATCCACCACAAACTTTAGCCAGCCAATGAAATTATGCTTTTGTCCTTTATTCAAAAATTACAAGAGATTGTTTATCAAAATTTAAAAGTAGAAGATTTGTTTAACCTTTGAAATCATTTTCTAACTATTTGCAATGAATCATCTAAACAAAATTAAATTTTATTGTTGAAGTTAGCGCAAAAATATCTATCAGAGACCCAAAAATCTCATTTGAAGAATTAATGAAAAAAGTTCATCAAAACAAGAAAGGAAAAACATCAGAAAAAGACCAAAAATTAGTGAACCAAACTCTAGCTAAACCTTCTGAAAATAAAAGCAGAGATGATGGACCAAAAGAAGTCAAGTCAAGACAAACTAGATCTGTGATACCTGGAACCGGTGATTTAGCTAGAGGATTTGCATCAAACCTAATTGGAACTTCAGATGTATATAGTTCCCATGGAACTGAATCCTCAACATTCCAGACCATGGTTGAAATCCCTGATCAAGATCATCCCCAATCAACAGAATTCAGGATTCCCACAATAGAGCCACAGGTATTCCGTACTCCTGCAGCAGAATACACCACTGAAGAAATAACACTTGCTGACTATGAAAACCCTCCTGAAGAAACAATTACAAGTAAAAAGATCAGTGACAAGAAAGGATTAAAAATTAACATAGAAGACAGGAATGATTTACCTGATCAAGATGTGTCTAGTTCTCCTGTAACTCTCATGAGCGTAGACAACGAGGAGGAAAGTTCCACATCACAAGTCTCCATACATGATAAATCCTCAGAAGAGAAAAACTATCTTGTTGGAAAAGCTGTAGTCCAACCTCCACCTAAAAGTTATTGTGTTAATATTGCCTGTTTGGACCATACTGATGTTCCTGAAGTACATTGCTTGGATCTTAGTTGGACAAATACTGTCGGCAACAAGTACAGACCACTAAAGAGTAAGAGGTGTTTAGGCTTTCTACTAATCTAATCTGACTAATAACTAACAATGCATAACACTTAAAGGAGGTAGCAGCACTTATATGGTGTAATAAGCTTTCTTTTTTATAGTTCTGCATAACTGACATTTCCCAATGGTTGCTGTATCAGCAAAACCGGTTTTTTATCAATCAAAGAGGCAGTAACTTTTGTTTTATATAATTTATAGCGCCTGAACTTAATCTGTGAAAAGCAGTTAACTTCATGTTTGACCTTTTTAGAAATCAAAAAAGGAATCAGTTTAATCTTTAGGAGTGCATAAGATATGGATTAGAACCTACTGAAGGGATTATAAAAGTTATGACCTCATTCATTTCATTCTGTCTTTCCTATTCTTTTGAATGATGAGAGTCAAAGTAAGTTTTGCAGAAAGCATAAATATTCAAATGTGTTGTATCTGGAGCTTGAATTCTTAATGACCAATTTGATAAGGTCTGCTTCATCTGTACTACCCATAAACACTAACAAGTGTACTAACTATGCATGCATATGTCAGGTTATTTGTTTTTAATAACTTAACTAAAGCACTAACAAACGTTTATAGATTTTGAAGTACTTTGGGTCAAAGATAATTCCAAGAGTTTGTAATACTATTTGCAAATAGCATTTTTATTTTTAAACGCACACATATTTGTTGCAGAGATCTTTTTGGTAATATCAAATTCTTTCATGAATCGTAAAACACGAGTTTATCAGAAACTACATGAGCGGCGAAAAGGGCTTAGCTGTGATCCTACAGTGTTAGGTGATTATATCAATACAATGAAGACGACTTTTTAATTTAAGTTTCAATTGTAAACAATCTTTTTTCGAATTATAAGTTTACGAGAAATCAAAGAAAAGCTTTTTAAATTGACAGCTCCTCTTAACTTCTAAGTTTTTGTGTATCCATGTTGTTTAAAATCTTGATATAAATTAAAAATTTAAATCGAAAGTCGTCTTTATTAAATTGATATTATCGCCTACCACTGTATGTTAACAACAAGAGTATAGTATGTGTATTTAAAATCAATAAACATTACTATAAAATTACTTAAATTTAACTTATAACTAACAAAAAGTTTTAAATATTACTTATGTTTGAAATTTTTAAAAACAATTCTTTAAAATTTATCAATAAAAAAGAATTAAGTCTTTGCCACGAACTCAAATTTTCTTTAACATGATAGAAAATCATGTCACAGAATAGATAGAAAGGACAATATTTAAACATGATGGTATCATGATTGTTCAAAAATGTCCAATAAAACCTGAAAAATATGTATTTAAAATCAATAAACAATACTATAAAATTACTTAAATTTAACTTATAACTAACAAAAAGTTTTAAATATTACTTATGTTTGAAGTTTTGAAAAACAATTCTTTAAAATTTATCAATAAAAGAATTAAATCTATGCCACGAACTCAAATTTTCTTATTCCCTGATTATCTTAGCAGCCTAATGGTGTAATCCTTTTTCTAACTTAGATTAATTCAAGAAATATATCGACCGCCATATCTCATGCGTCAAATCTGTGTACTACAGTGGGAGGAGATCAAAACAAAGTATTCAGGGGCAACGCATCATTTTCGAGGGAAAAGGGCCCAAGGGGTGGAATAAAAATATATTGCTATTTGTATTTTCCATATCGATATGTATTCGCTAGCCTCTAACTTGAAATTTTAACTTTTTTTTTGTTGAACTGTAATATCACATCAGAGCTGTAGTCTTTTTCCCATCAACTTCTGTGGGGGCAGTGGGTTTGTTTACATTCCTCCCACAGTGTACAGTACATAATATGCCTATATCTGAGTTGGGCGTTCCTGTATATAGTTCCTTAGATTATTTGATCTAACAGAATTCATAGTTTGAAATATCGTTATAGCATGGATGTTAAAAAAAACATGTTTTGTTTGTATGCTAACCAAAGGAATTAATTCTGATGGTCTAAGTCCTATATCTTTGCAACCAAATGTTGTAGACCTTAGATATTTCAAACCATGAATGATTAGATGATTTAATTTAAGTTTAAAATATCAAAGGTTTACTACATCAGGTGGCAAAGATATAGGGATTAGAATATTTGATTTTGATGACTCAATTTTTTTAACTACGTTTAAATCAAATTTTAAAGACATTAAATTATTGCAATTGATCCAATTAAATTTTAATAATCCAATTGTCATTGATCAATATAATTTCCGGATGCCCGTGCTTGTGGTAAACTATAGTTTCTATATTTTACCCTGCTTTACAAAAATCTCTTTAAAGGGACTGTAAGTGTAATTTAAAGTGACTTTCCATGGAAAGATGTCAATGCCCGATTCACAACGGTACCCTTTAAACTGTATATGTATGAATTTTGAAAACTTATTTTTTCAATTGGTTTCTCTACAAAAGTGACTTGCGCATTTCTACTGAGGAAAACATATAGGAATTATGAGAATTAAGCAGTTTGAAAGGTTTAAAGGGGGACTGTTGTGAATCTTGCAATGCTATCTTTGCAAGGAGGGTCACTGTAAATTACACTTACAGACCCTTTCATATTTTTTTTCTGTTTTAGCTGAAGGGCCCTGCGTAGCCCGTGGAAAAAAAATTTGAAAAAAATGAAAAAATTTCAAACAAAAGTTGAATCTTGAGTGCATATCCACAACACATTTCAGCCCATTCAGTTTAGCCGTTTGGCTGGCTATAGGGAACACATATAAGAATGTTTTGTTTTATTTTATTTTTTTCAATTTTAGAACATTTCAACATACTGTGGAAAGCCAACTGGACTAGAGAAGCAGAAAAAGTTCTAAAAATCTTTGAACGTGACGTCATTATGAAGGTAAACCATAGCCTACACAGACACTATTTAATGGATAAATCATGCCATAGATTGCATTGAACTTAAAGGGACTGTAAAGGAAAAATGAAAGGGGGTATATGCTGAAAGCTAATCCCTTTAGCTTTTGATCGCGACCCATGAAAGTTTTTTCTGATGTTCCTGTCTCGAGAAATTGATATAAAACTGTGTTAAAATTATACGAAAGTTCATATATGTAAAATTTAGAAAATCTTAAACTTAAATCACGTGACAAGAACTATCACCAATGGCAGAGCAGTATACTGGTCACGTGTCTCCGCCTGCATCACGTGACCACTTTACTGCACTGCCTTTGGTGGAATTTCTGGTCAAGTAATACGGACATATAAATAATATTATGAATTAAATCTATTAAAAATAAAAATAACAAATATAAAATTAGAATTGGAGTAAACCTAAGTTACAATTAGCTTTCTCTGGGATATTTTAAACATGACGTCTACATAAAGTTCCATCATACCAAAAATTGCACAGATAGGACAATTTTTGAAGGTAAATCATATATTCCATAGATTAGATATGATAATATTCAAACATTATGACAATGTTAAGGTAAATCATACCATAGATTTCACAGATAGGACAGCTGTTAAATATAATCACAATTTTAAGGTAAATCAAACCACAGATAGGACAATATTTGAATATGACGTCATCACCATAATACTACAGATTACACTGATAAGACAATATTTTAACATAATGGAAAAACATTCCACAGAATATATAGATAGAACAAAATGTTTAACATGATAGAAAATCATGTCACAGAATAGATAGAAAGGACAATATTTAAACATGATGGTATCATGATTGTTCAAAAATGTCCAATAAAACCTGAGAAAATATGTTTGAAGGTGAAGTCTGAAGGCTATGATGGGAATGATAATGAGGAATTGAACTCACCAAGTCAATGGAACTTTAGCGGAGCTCTCCTCTACAGTGTTACTATTATAACAACCATAGGTAAACAAAACTGGTCGGCGTTTATATCAATACAATGAAGACGACTGTTAGATTTCTAACAAGCTTTTTTCAAATTACATTTTTACAAGTAAACATTAAAAGAGTCTCTTTGTTTCCGCTTTTATTTGTTTCCGTTTTTATTTGTATCGAAGTTACTAGAAAGCTTGGTAAAAATCAGAATAGAAAACTAGAAAGCTTGGTAAAAATCAGANATTGAACTCACCAAGTCAATGGAACTTTAGCGGAGCTCTCCTCTACAGTGTTACTATTATAACAACCATAGGTAAACAAAACTGGTCGGCGTTTATATCAATACAATGAAGACGACGTTTTGATTTCTAACAAGCTTTTTTCAAATTATATTTTTACAAGTTAACATTAAAAGAGTCTCTTTGTTTCCGCTTTTATTTGTTTCCGATTTTATTTGTTTCCGTTTTTATTTGTATCGAAGTTGCTTGAAAGCTTGGTAAAAATCAGAATAGAAAAATAATAATTTATTGATTTATACGACGACTGCATTTTAGATAAGCAAAACTTTGTAATTATATCATAGGTAAACCAAAATTGTAAGATTATATTATTTTACCACATTTTAGTTAACATTACCGACCCATGGGCATGCATGATTCCTTTAACAGAGTGACTTTAAGTTACTTACTTAATGTCCCTTGGGACTGTTAACTAAAATAACTACCTGCTCTGCAAAGTTTTCGTGCATTTTCATATCATATCGACGATAAAATTGTGTACAACTATACAGATACTGTTCGGAAATTTAAATTTTACTTCACTACCTCGATCTTGGGAACCTTAGGTAAAATAAAACGTTCCTTGGAAAGTAGTTGTAAACTTGTAAATAATTAATATCATAAGTAAACCAAAATGTTTAAACTTTATAATTATCTCTCATATGAATTATATGTCTGTTTTGATACCGTTGGAAAAAATGTTGAAAATGACTCGAGTTGTTTCTAATTTTGAACGGAATCCCTTCATCCAAATTACCAGAGCTTTTTTTTTAAAAAACTTTTTCATACTTTATTATTTCAGAAAAATAACTCCACGTTTTAACTAATAAAATAATAAGTGAAGGTTTCTTCTAATATGAGAACAAACTTGACAATAATATTTTCCCCTTGACTCTGATGCTATTTTAATCTTCTATTTTATGCTAAACTGAGGTTTTATTTCTATTCTCCATGGTTCTTATGTGAGAGTGTTAATCTTCAATTAAAAAACTTCTTAAAAGTACTGATCGTTGATTCATATTCACATTCATGGTTATCAATAATATTTTTCCTACTCTTGCTTCAGTATTTAACATCAATTTAAATACATTTTAATTAGGAAAATGAATCAAGTTTGTTGTGTTTATTGTAAACATTAAATAAACATGGAAAAGCTAGAGTCAGTTGCTTTATATTCGACTAAAGATATTCCTCAAAGAGATTTTTCAAAACGATAAATTTTGTCAATCATAAAATACTTTGAATGTTTAAAACGGACCTCAAAATATCCCCATCCCTACCACATAGCCCCTCTCCCTGTATTCAGTGCAAGTTAGTTAAATCATCACATTTAGCAGAAGTTTATCAATATACTAAAGATGTATTTTGAAAAAATATAATAATATCAATATATTAAAGATGTATTTTTAAAAAATATAATAATATCAATATACTAAAGATGTATTTTGAAAAAATATAATAATATCAATATATTAAAGATGTATTTTGAAAAAATATAATAATATCAATATACTAAAGGTGTATTTTGAAAAAATATAATAATACCAATATATTAAAGATGTATTTTGAAAAAATATAATAATATCAATGATCTCATGTTGACCTTGTTTCCGTCTAATCTGTCAAATCTATTGGTTTTTAATCCAAACAAAAAAAAATATATTGTTCTTAGCACTCTCAAGCAGAAATAAAACTTTATCAAAGCTAATAGATCACATGATCCTTTTTTTCATTACAAATGGTATATGTTAACAGTTAACTGCGGTACATTTATTCAGCAAGCTTAAAATGCAATACGTCAATACCCCCTCCCCCTCTCATCTATACGTAGTACGTACATTCAATATAAGGGGTAAAATAGTTAAATATGTTGAATTTTTGGGAAATAACAAAATATTGTATGTATTTGAGTGTATTCCTCAGGTTGTAATGGATAAATATAGATTTCTAGGAAGGACACTGTCCTCTTGCCCCCCCCCCTTGATAAGAATGGTGATTTATACACTGTTAGAAGAAACACTGACATTTTATTCGTAATGTCGAACTTTCCGAAATTATTTCAAAATTACGAACATTTTGTTCAAAATTATGGACATGTTGTTCAAAATTACAAACATTTTGTTCAAAATTACGAACATTCTGTTTAAAATTATGAATATTTTGTTCAAAATTACGAACATTTTGTTCAAAATTATGAATATTTTTTTTTAAATTACTAACAATTTGTCCAATATACAAAGATTTTGTTCAAAACTACGAACATTTTGAATTAAAATTACAAAAATGTTGTTAAAATGCGTCAAAAAACTTTCCCTCTCCTAACCCCTCCCACTACCAGGTCTCTACGCTAAACCGTTCATAAGGGGTAAAATTGCTAAATATGTTTTGAAATTTTTGGGAAAAGTACAAAATATTTTTGTGTATTCCTAAGGTTCTACTGGGTAAATCTAGATTTCTTCTAGCTACGAACATTGTATTCGAAAATTACGAACAATTTACTGGTAATTACGAACATATATTTTACTCGATGTTACAAACATTTTGTATAAAGTTACAAAATTACGACCAATTTATTCAAAATTACAAAAAGATTGTTAAGGAAACAAAGATTTGAGGGATAATATTCTACTTTGAACCAAATGTTGGTAAATTTAAATAAAACGGTCGTAATCTTAAATAAATTGTTCGTAACTTTGAACGGTTGTTCGATATTCTGAAGAAAATGTTTTCTCTAATAGTTTATTATCTAGGATATGGAAATATAGCTCCTAAGACTAAATGGGGCCGTATTGTGACAATGATCTACGCAACCTTCGGTATGCCGATCTTCCTGATGTGGGTGTCCAATATGGGCACCTTGCTCGCCCAAACCTTCACCTTCCTCTACTCTCACGTCTGCTGCTTCGTCTGTAAACAGGGGAAGAAGAGAAAGGTAACTTTCTTGAGGGGTTAAGGGGACCTATGATTTCCCCAACAGAGGGACGTTAAGTTACTTAACGTCCCTTGGGATAATTAAGTAATATAACGATCCGCTCTGCAAAGTTTTCGTGAATAAATTCACGCATTTTCATCTCAAAAGACGATAAAATTCTAAACAACTATTTTTGGAGAAATTAAAAGTTAAACTTAACCACGTGTTCCCTCCACCAATTTTGTCTACAAAGCATAATTAAAACACATACAAAGTAGATAAAGTAGTAATCTATGTTTGCTTGCTTGTATGTACGATTATATCTGAACCCCGTGATAGATTTGCCTCACATTTTATTTGGAGAACTCATTAGAACTGAATGGAATTTCCTTAGCTTGGTATAAAAATTTAAAGTTGAGTGGGTCTACTTTTATAGAGAAAGCTTCCAGGCAAAGCTGCGTTCCCAAGCTAGAAAATGTTCTGACAAAAAATTAATAAGTTTTTAACCTGAAAATTTAGTTTTATTATTCCAAAAAAAAGTTTTTTTTAACAGAGAAAACACAGTGAGAGAAACAATATAGATAATTAATCAGTTGAATTAATTATTACATTTTTATTCGTTATAAATAAAAAAAGAGAAGGCCGCCGCCACCAAAAAGTTTGAAGAAAAATCCATTTTTATCGAATGATGAGTGTTAAGGAATTGAGTGGTGGAGCCCCTCTATATTGTTTTCTAACAAACATAAACTATACTAGACTGTGTAAACAAACCAAGGAGTAAGGAATAGTACTGACGCGGCCCGCCCTACCATATAATTATACATGCTTTGCAGACGGTACTTCATTTGTGTAGGAAATATTCAGAATAGTTTATTGTATACGCGGTAATTGTACATCAGACAAATATTTCTTATTCAAATGAAGCACCGTCTGCAAAGCATGTATATGTATAATCATATGGTATAGGGCGGGCCGCGTCAGTTGTATCTCCGTTTGTTCCACACTCCTTGAAACAGACTCATTTAAAGTAAACATATTCAAAGTGCACTAGGGTCACACAGTACACTTACTATCCTCACTGTACAGTTTATTATCTTAAAATTGATTTATGATATATTTTATTTTGTAAGCCATGGCTTACAAATCAGCTGTTCAGGTAATGCAGTCCTAATTTTTTTCGGCTGTGTTACTTGTTTCTTAATATTAAAAAAAAATCATCAATAGAGAGATACTCTCTAGGAGAAACTCGCTACACAAACCTATTTAAATATTTCTGTTGTCCATTCCATGGCTGAAACAGAATGTAAACTTTGCTTTCGTATTTCTAATTTTATCATTATTATTACAGAAAAATTTGGTATATAATCTGTAGCTAGTATTGTAAAGGGACCGTCCACTTGGTTGGGTAATTTTATGGTAAACTAATTAGCCTATTACCTATTTATTGGTATCTTTTGAAAGATTTCTATGACCGGAGAAAAGACCGATTTATCGTTTAGAATTCCAGCGAAAAGGTATGATATCTTTGCAAAGACACTTTTTAAACGTTTTTCAGTAACAACAGCGCAGCCCAATAAAATCTAAAATTATCATACTTCAATGAAATCATATGTGCAGACATTATGTAATAAATATAAAAACTTTTTATCTTAGAATTAGCAAGAAATTAACGTTTTTCGTGTTCAGACAGATTTTACAAATTAACACGTTTATACAAAGACGGCTTTCTTTCTCAGACAAACTGGTTCCTAGATTCCAACTCTTCAATAAATCACAGGAATTCCTGGGAAAGTAGGGAAAACGTATCAAACTGTCAAATATGGAAATAAGTTATTTTTAAACTAGACAATTTAAAAATAATTTTGAAAAAAATAAAGATATGTACAATTAACTATAAGATACTACAATTTAATTTAATATTTAAAATTTTTTTTAATCCATGACTGACAAAAAACATCAAATACTGTAAATGCAAAGGTATCATACCTTTGCGCTGGAATTCTGAATGATAAATCGGCTTTTTCTCCGGCCACAGTTGTCTTTGAAAAGTAAGGCTAATACCAATAAATAGCTAATAGGCTATTTAGTTTACCCTCAAATTACCCAAATAAGTGTACGGTCCCTTTCAGGGGCTGCAGATGTAATTTCAATTAATACTTCATTAATAGAGTGCCATATCCGATAGGATATTAACATTGGAACCTTTAACTTCTGTCTGGTCAAGGATAAATAAGATATCCTTAGTTTTCTGAATTCAAATTACTTATTTTGAATTGTGGTAACTTGCTGCCGGAGAAATTGTCGAAATTTTTTTCCTTTTCAAAATAAAAAAGGTACGACTAAATTTTCAGATAGAGGTTTAAAGGGTGCTATTGTGAATCGAACATGAGGTTCACTTGTAATTACTTCTACAGCCTCTTTAAAGTTCAATTGTAATTACGTCTACAGTCCCTTTAAAGTTCTATTGTAAATACGTCTACAGTCTCTTTAAAGTTCTATTGTAATTACGTCTACAGTCCCTTTAAAGTTCTATTGTAATTACGTCTACAGTCCCATTAAAGTTCTATTGTAATTACGTCTACAGTTTAAAGTTCTATTGTATGTCTACAGTTTAAAGTTCTATTGTAATTACGTCTACAGTTTAAAGTTCTATTGAAATTACGTCTACAGTTTAAAGTTCTATTGAAATTATGACACAGTTTAAAGTTCTATTGCAATTATGTCTACAGTTTAAAGTTCTATTGTAAGTACGTCTACAGTTTAAAGTTCTATTGTAATTACGTCTACAGTTTAAAGTTCTATTATAATTACGTCTACAGTCTCTTTAAAAATCTATTGTAATTAAGTCTACAGTTTAAAGTTCTATTGTAATTACGTCTACAGTTTAAAGTTCCATTGTAATTACGTCTACAGTTTAAAGTTCTATTGTAATTATGTCTACAGTTTAAAGTTCTATTGTAATTACGTCTGCAGTCTCTTTAAAGTTCTATTGTAATTACTTCTACAGTCTCTTTAAAGTTCTATTGTAATTACGTCTACAGATTATTTAAAGTTCTATTGTAATTACGCCTACAGTCTCTTTAAAGTTCTATTGTAATTACATCTAAAGTTTAAAGTTCTATTGTAATTACGTCTACAGTCTCTTTAAAGTTCTATTACAATTACTTCTACAGTCTCTTTAAAGTTCTATTGTAATTACGTCTACAGTACTTTAAAGTTCTATTGTAATTACGTCTACAGTCTCTTTAAAGTTCTATTGTAATTACGTCTACAGTCCCATTAAAGTTCTATTGTAATTACGTCTACAATTTAAAGTTCTATTGTAATTATGTCTACAGTTTAAAGTTCTATTGTAATTACGTCTACAGTTTAAAGTTCTATTGTAATTACGTCTACAGTTTAAAGTTCTATTGTAATTACGTCTACAGTTTAAAGTTCTATTGAAATTATGTCTACAGTTTAAAGTTCTATTGTAAGTACGTCTACAGTTTAAAGTTCTATTGCAATTATGTCTACAGTTTAAAGTTCTATTGAAATTAAGTCTACAGTCCCTTTAAAGTTACATTGTAATTAGGTCTACAGTTTAAAGTTCCATTGTAATTACGTCTACAGTTTAAAGTTCCATTGTAATTACGTCTACAGTTTAAAGTTCCATTGTAATTACGTCTACAGTTTAAAGTTCCATTGTGATTACGTCTACAGTTTGAAGTTCCATTGTAATTACGTCTACAGTTTAAAGTTCTATTGGAATTACGTCTACAGTTTAAAGTTCTATTGAAATTATGTCTACAGTTTGAAGTTCTATTGAAATTACATGTACAGTTTAATGTTCTATTGTAATTACGTCTACAGTTTAAAGTTCTATTGAAATTATGTCTACAGTTTAAATTTCTATTGTAATTACGTCTACAGTTTAAAGTTCCATTGTAATTACGTCTACAGTTTAAAGTTCCATTGTAATTACGTCTACAGTTTAAAGTTTTATTGTAATTACGTCTACAGTTTAAAGTTCTATTGGAATTATGTCTACAGTTTAAAGTTCTATTGTAATTACGTCTACAGTTTAAAGTTCTATTGTAATTACGCCTACAGTTTAAAGTTCTGTTGAAATTATGTCTACAGTTTAAAGTTCTATTGTAATTACTTCTACAGTCTCTTTAAAGTTCTATTGAAATTATGCCTACAGTTTAAAGTTCTATTGAAATTACGCCTACAGTTTAAAGTTCTATTGAAATTATGTCTACAGTTTAAGGTTCTATTGAAATTACGTCTACAGTCCCTTTAAAGTTCTATTGAAATTATGCCTACAGTTTAAAATTCTATTGAAATTACGCCTACAGTCCCTTTAAAGTTCTATTTTAGTTGATAAAGAAACAGGTGAGGAAGGAGGAACGAGAAAGCAGAAGGGAAAGAAGAGCAGAAAATCAACAAAGAGAAGAAAGAGAGAGTAGGAAGGAGAAGGAAGGAAGAGGAGGACTAGAACTGGGAAGGAGCAAACAGGAACCCATAGATATTGATTTAGGTAACTAGGAATACATGGAGCTTCGCGCCCCCTCTTTGGAAATTTTTATAATTGATTTACATTATAATCGATCTACATTATAAAACATCTTATTTATCAATGTGAACATAATTGAATTTAAAAAAGCTATAATATATATAAAGCTAAAATGTTGAATTTTTGTTAACAAATCTAAAATCTAAATCTAAATTCAACTGTTATGTTTAATGTAGCGCTGAAGAAATAAAATTACATTACAATAATTTTATCATTTTCAGAAGACGTACAATCAATATCCCCCAACCTTTGTATTTTATCAAATTCTGAAAATATTATACATTCATGGGGTCCGTCCTAGATAACGATTTTCGGAACCCCCCCCCCCCCTCCTATCAATTTTGTACATGACTTTTTCAACAATTTTCAATTAAATTAGTATTTATTTAGAGTTAGGTTAGGTTAATACACTTTCTGGGCCGAGCGCTGCGGCTAGGACAGTCTAGGGGGCCGAGCGCTGCGGCCACAGGTTAGGTTAAGTTATGATACTTTATGGGCCGAGCGCTGCGGCTAGGACAGGCTAGGGGGCCGAGCGCTGCGGCCACATGTTTTACATTTAATTGAAAATTGTTGAAAAAGTCATGTACAAAATTGATAGGAGGGGGGGGCCTGGGGGGGTCCAAAAATCGTTCTCTAGGAAATTACCCATTCATGAAATATACTGACCCTCTCGACTCTTAACCTAATTTCCCATCATATGTTAAGAATTTTTATTTTTTTGACATTTTCAAGGTAGTAGTGTTTATTTAATTACCCGTTTTTGGGGGAAAAAATTATATTTTATTTTGAACCCTCTCTGGATCTAAAAAAACTCTACTAATTTACTTCAAAATCGTGACGACAGGACACACATTTAAATTCACAATTTTTTTTGTAACTAGAGATATTTTCTTTAGAGTCTGCTGTTAACAGCACAATCCAGAAAACACGTGATAAAGAGGGACTAGACCCATTGGTGAAGCAAATGTTGACGGAATGCGCCAGGTAGGCCGCCATTTTGAATTTTATCCAAAAAGCAGGTTTTTTATATATCATCTCTTACATTTCATGTCTAAGAAGATACAAATTACTTATTGAGGCTGTAAGTGTAATTTCAAATATAGCAATGTCCGATTCACAACGCTTTGTCTGATCAAGCATGAATTGCATATTAATGTTTATAATTTTAAAAACTGATTATTTTCAAATGTGACTTCTTTAAAAAATTACTTGCGCATTTCTACTACAGTAATGCATATGAGAATTATAAGAAATAACCACTTTGGCACGACAATATCTTTTACATTATTGATCAGATAAAGGTTGAAAGGGTACTGTTGTAAAACATCTTTGCTTGAATCACTTATTTTTACGTTTACAGTCCCTTTAAACCATAGAATCTATTTAGATATAACCTGGATAATAACGATGATGATCCTCTCTCCGAAGCTGTAGTTGAAGAAATTCGCCATGCTGATGCCATGGATATAATCAGGTAACATGGATATAATCAGGTAACATGGATATAATCAGGTTATCATCAGGTTACTACATATTTGTATTTACCAATCCTATGCAGTTAACATGGATATAATCAGGTTACTACATATTTGTATTTACCAATCCTATGCAGTTAACATAGATATAATCAGGTTACTACATATTTGTATATACCAATCCTATTCAGTTAACATGGATATTATCAGGTTACTACATATTTGTATATACCAATCCTATGCAGTTAACATAGATATTATCAGGTTACTACATATTTGTATATACCAATCCTATGCAGTTAACATAGATATTATCAGATTACTACATATTTGTATATACCAATCCTATGCAGTTAACATGGATATTATCAGGTTACTACATATTTGTATATACCAATCCTATGCAGTTAACATGGATATAATCAGGTTACTACATATTTGTATATACCAATCCTATGCAGGTAACATGGATATTATCAGGTTACTACATATTTGTATATACCAATCCTATGCAGTTAACATAGATATAATCAGGTTACTACATATTTGTATATACCAATCCTATGCAGTTAACATAGATATAATCAGGTTACTACATATTTGTATATACCAATCCTATGCAGTTAACATGGATATTATCAGGTTACTACATATTTGTATATACCAATCCTATGCAGTTAACATGGATATTATCAGGTTACTACATATTTGTATATACCAATCCTATGCAGGTAACATGGATATTATCAGGTTACTACATATTTGTATATACCAATCTTATGCAGGTAACATGGATATTATCAGGTTACTACATATTTGTATATACCAATCCTATGCAGGTAACATGGATAAAATCGATTTGCATGCTTTTCCTAAATCTTGATTAATTTATTTTAAATTTAGAGAACGAAGTTTAAATGCATCCCCGCTCATATCTCCAGTAGATACTCCACATAGATCTCCTGCCCCTCCTTCCAGGTAACCCTGATCTTCAAAACCTACAGAATTACAGCCAATATGTAAAGATTATTTATCTATGTATATAAAGTTGTAATCTCTGTCTATCCGTCTGTCTGTTTGTTTGTCCGATTATAACCCGGGAGCCCCTGGACCGATTTGCCTCAAATTTTGTTTGGGGAAGTCGGGAGAGCCACAGGAATGTCCTCAGCTCAGTTTTGAGATTCTAAGTTGAGTTTTATTGGGGAAAATAGCTGAAATCGTAATTAACGACTACGCGCGGGTAATCGGCCGGACTAACTATAGACAACTTTGGCTTCCCAAGCTAGTCCTAAATAAAACTGAAAGTTTCCAAAAATGACAAATACTTAAATTTTTTAAAAACAAATAATTAAGACTAAGGAAATCTTTCTTAAAAAATCGCGACCAATGTTTAAAGGGACTGTAAGCGTAAGTGCTAAGTAACCCTCTATGCAAAGATGACAATGCCCGATTTACAACGATACCCTTATAAGCTTTGCCTGATCAAGTATGAATTAGATATCAATATTTTTATTTCTTTAAACTATTTACTTTTATTGGCGGTTTTTCTGTGAAAATGACTTGCACATTTCTTATTTGTAAGAAGCAATATTGACAGAAATAAACATTTTTGAGTCAGAAAAACAACGGTATTTACGACATTTTTTTATCAGAGTTTCATGGTGCCGTTGTAAATCGGGAATTGCCAACTTTGCATGGAGGGTCAAATTAGGCTTACTGTCCCTTTAACACTATTGCTCTAGGTGTTACCGTGAACTAACTGGCGCTGATAAAAACCGAACCTGTACACCGGATGGAGAAAGACAGCTGATTCCCACGCCGGATCCTAGAACTCCTGGACTGTACAGTGTGTCCTCCTTGAAACATGATGGATCAGTGAACACTACTCTTCTTCGACCCCCGGCCAATCATCTACCTATCCAGGTAATGGAATAACAAACAAGTCTAACCTTGAGAACCCCGACATAAAGAATATCCGACCTAATTATCGAGTAGTTTTATAGAAAATATATCGAGTAGTTTTATAGAAAATATATCGAGTAGTTTTAATACTCCACACAAATCAAATCCACTCTCCAAATTGTTAATTTCAAACCCAAGTCCACCTACCTGCAGATCACTTCTGTATGCCGAGTCCATTAGCGCCTAATCCAATCAGGGTTTAGTTATGTGTTTGTTGTCTATTCTGAACCAATAGAAATTGCTTATCGGTAACATATATCATCTTTCTATCTATCTCATTATCCAATCAGAGTTATGAATCTTTTAATCGGCATTATCAGTAAATGGAAATATTTACTTCTTCTGAAACTATAGTGAGATCAACCCACGGGGATAGATCATTTTCCTCCTAAAAACTTTTTTTTATCTTTACAAAATGATTTCACAATTTTAGTTTATCATATTTCTTAAATCAAATAAGTAAAATCCGCAAAAAAATTAGTTTTTATTGTATTAAGAAAAAATTGAACCATTAAAACCGAAATTTAATATCTAAAACTATTTCAACAAAACCATTGAGGAATTCATTTTTAAATAGATATCTTCGAGTATATTTTGTACCAACAATTAAAGTATAGTATTTTAGCATCAACAAACAATAAGATAGAAAAATTATTTAACCTTTATAAAAAAACAATACTGTTAGAAAAAAGATCCATTGAATTTTCTAAACTTGAAATGTTTAAATTATCTGATGTCCACAAACATAATGCTTCTACTTCTATGTATGAATATATAAAAGAAAAACTTCCTTCGTCTTTTAATGGAATGTTTGCTCCATTTGTAGACCCGAATAGGACACAAGGTTTTTAATTGGTAGTAAGAAACAAAAACCTTAACCTTTTCAAAAAATATTTCTTAAGAGAATTAGGAATTTTAAATATTAAATGTTCATTATCAGTATTTAATTTAAAACGTTAATGAAAGTATATCTGGTTTCTAAATATAAGAAATTTAAATTTAAAAACAGGAACTGCTAGAAAGTTAATTAATTAATTAATTAAAAAATAAATTAGTTTTCCATTTATATTTTTTAAAAAAATTAAGATTTCTGGCTCCTGGGCCCCTAGAGCAAGCCAGGAGGAATCTCCGACCTCCTCCAAGGTTTTCCTGACCTCCGAACGAGAGGAGGAGGTCACAAAAGGTCATAATTCAAGCCGAGGACCTCCTCCAGATTCTCCGGCTCCGATAGAGAAGGTTCCAGTGATGCCAGTAATAGGAAAATATTAATAGTTTTTATCATATGTCCAGACAATCTGATCAGAATACAACCCTTGTACAGTGAGACCCATGAAACTATGGAATAGAAAGACGACCGTTAGAATTTATCTATGATTTGAAACTGTCCAATGAGCATGAAAAACACAACAATTGTGGAGTGTACACAGACCTATTTCTCTAAATAAGCTGGTATTAAAGCAGCTTAAGCAGAATTTTATGAAACAGAATAAAGAACACAAAATATTTTTTAAAATATAATCTTCCTATTCCAGAGTTTTATTAGTCTCTCTGTATTAAATAAAATTTTGTTCATTTTCTCTTCTTTAGATTAATTTTTACGTAATTTCAAGTGATCCACCATTCACTACAGTATTCTTTCCATTTCCTAGCTTGTCTCTCTTGCGACTTTCTATATCAATAAGAATATTTATTTTTAGCAACGACAAGGCTATAACTGAAAAAGGAAAGTACTACTTGAAATTAAAAGTCGACAGTCTCTAAGTTGTGTCCGATGCATGTACAAAATGTCGTCTATGAGAATTGAATTTGATATTTTTTGTCGTTTTTCTCACTTGAATGGTTTAACCTATTGATATTTAATTTACAGTGTTCATAGTTGGTTATATTCTGCTGGGAGCTGGAATATTTTCAGCTTGGGAGAATTGGAGCTTTCTAGAAGGAGCTTACTTCTCATTTATCACTCTTACTACAATAGGTATACTTCTCATTTATCACTCTTACTACCATAGGTATACTTCTCATTTATCACTCTTACTACCATAGGTATACTTCTCATTTTTAATCTTGAATACTGATCTCGATATCCAATGTGGACACTTATAATTTTGATGATCAAAGCTTGATTCATAAGTATAAAGTTATCTCTGGAACTATCACGGGACATCAAAGTTGAATTAAATTTATCTGTAGATCTGGAGATCAATGGTTGATCCCGAGGTTGACAGATCAAAAGTTCTGGCTTCTGAGCTGGGAACTTTAGAATGGTGGATATCAGGATTAATGCTTAATCCTCTCTTTTTGCTAATCTCGAGAATAACATAATCTCAAGATTAATTATTTAGGTCAACAAATTTGATTCTAGGACGCCAGATTTGTTCGTTTTCTTGACTGAAAGGGCCTTCACTTAATTTCTCAAACATTTGTTTATTAATACATAAGTTAAAATTAGATAAAAAAGAATCTCAAACGTATTATAACATATTTTTCTTTACCGATCAATTTACTAAATGGCCGATAACAAATTCTTTATTTGTTAGAAATTGCGGAGGTCTCTCATTAGATAAAATTTATTTTCAAGGCTGTCATCAATGGTCATTGCAATTTACGAACTATATTCCTGCACTCTCATTGGAGAAAACAATGTACGGATATCCAAAGAGAGAGAAAAAGAGTAGATTAAGGACTAAAATTAAAAGTTTTCACAATTAAGCAGTCGGGATTAAAGGTTATCCATTCTAAAGCTCCAAGAGCTGGGAACTTATGAATGGTGGATATCAGGAGTAATGCTTGATTCACTCTTTTTCTTAATCTCGATATTAAATAATGCTTGTTCTCCTCTTGTTATTAATCTCCAGAATAATTAACCGATCGGGATTAAGAATATCACATTCTAAAGTTTTCAGCTCTACCTACCATTCAAAAGTTCCAAGCTCAGCTCAGTTTTTATATTTTCAGGTTTCGGGGACTTTGTTCCAGGGGATGCAGTACTGAATGCCGCAACTCAAGACGGACAGTACAAACTTATTCTTGCCTGCCTGTACGTTTTAGTCGGTACAGTACATCGTTTATAATTCAATTATGCTGTTTTTTTCCAAATCGAACTTTTCCTCTTAAATTATAACGTTTAAAACTTTGTTTAACGATACACATAGAAATTAATCATTGTCATTTTTCCGTGTACTCAAAATTTTAATTTTGTTCAGGACTTGCCGTGATTTCAATGACAATAAACCTGCTTCAAGAAGAGGTTATAGATATGGTTGTTAACCTAGCCAAGGATCTAGGGATTATTGACGACGACGATGATGAAGACGACGACTAGAAATAAATTTCTAAATCATGTCAATTTCGCGCATTTCCCTGTTTCGTGTTTGCTTTTAATAAAGACAACAATGTTCATTTGTACCCAGTGTTACAACATTAACTTTCTTTTCTTTGCTCAAATTTTCTTAAGAAAGTTAGATGATTTGCTGTTATTATTGTGTTTTTAAAAGTTTAAAAGTTTTCTGGAATTCTTGCACATTTTAAGAAATAATAAATCGATTCCACACAAAAAATGCCACATAAAAGAATCCATGTGAATAAACATAATTTATAAAAAGCTATTCACATCAATGTCAAATTTAGGAATTTATCTATTAATGTATTTTGCTTTGTTATTATAAAGTAAAGAAAATAAATTTTATAAAACTATTTTCAAAGGTCTTACGTATATAGGATATTTTAATTGAAAATCAATTTATTGAATAAAGAGGTCTCTGAAGTATGTAAATTACACAATTTCTGTGTTCCCTGCTTTAACAACGGGAAACTGGGGTGCGGCGAGGCGCGAAAAAATAATATCTTGCTCAGGATTTAGAATGCTTTGCATTATTGAATTAGATGCTAGCGCTTGCAAATTTAACAATTTATTAAACCTTTTTAAAATCTAAATATTTATTTTAAATCCGACCATATATTTATATATATATATATATATATATATATAAGAGACCTACACAATTTCTTTGCGTTTCATACATAGCGTCCCATATCATATTATATTATCTCCAAGCTTTAACGCTAAAATAAACATATAATATTCCAAAACATAGCAATTTCTGCAAGAAAATTCTTATATTAACCTCATTCAAATTTTCATAATGATTTATTCTTCTTAAATTAGTCCTAGAATTATAATTTAAACCCATTGACAATCTAATATGATATGGGACACCCTGTATAAACTTACTATCTGAAACTCAAGAACCAATTTGGTCTTTTATATGACATGGCTCTTTCGGAAGGTTGGAAAAATTCGGGATATCCATACTTGATAGAATGTTTCTCGTTTCTCTTTAAGTGTCGTGCGTGAAAAATCTTGACGAGCTTTTCTTCAATGCTGTTCAGTACACGGCAGGTGCTCCACAATCTAATATAGTTCAATTATATTAACCACGTTTAAATCGCTTCTTTTAAGGAGCAGATGAAGATAAGACGTCATTGTTGAAAATTAGACAAAATTTTTAATTAACACTGATATAAAAAAATTTATTCGAGACAAATTGAATGATTTTAAGACAAAGGATGAGCCTTTGCCACAAACTCAAATTCTCTAATCCCTATATTTTTTGCAACCCTATGCCGTAGACCTTACATATTTTAAACTATGAATTCTGGTAGATCAAATAATCTAAGTTTGAAATATCAAAGGTTTTCACCATCAAGTTGCTAAGATATAAGGATTAGAAAATTTGAATTTGTGTCAAAGACTCAAGTTCTTTGATTGAAATTAGGCGAAACTTATAATTTTCAGATCTGAGGATGTTTCGACCAATCTAAAAGAACACAGATCAAATTTAATTTTAATTCTGCTTTATTTTAAGATATTGAAAATAGACGGTAACAAATAAGAAAGAAAACAAAATTATTAACGGAATTAGATTGACTTGGTTTTTTTTTTACTTTTTTTTCGTCCGTAAAGGTTTCCCCCACCACCACTTTATAAACATACATCTAAACAGCTTGTTTTTAACCTTTGTGACAGAAGCAATCTCAAAGAATAATAATTGTCTTAAAACTTTTTTTTAAAAGTGAATATTTGCAAATTATCTTTTTTCCATCTCATAATCTGAGTTCGTTTCCCTCATGTCCCTTTGACAACCCAAATTTTTATTTGTTTATTTTCTTGTGATTTAACAAAAAAAAAATTATAATTTTTTTTATCGATTTTGATGGTTATTATATCGTTAGAACTGACGAGGGTCAACCCAAACCGAAATATATTTTCAATAAATGTGGAACTAACATCAACTTTTTTACTCTACAGAGGTTTGGTCCATCACCATCACCGAAATTTAAAATCCTCAAATCAGTTTCACTCCAAGGAAATCTATTCATTACCTTTATATGTGTGTGGGTGGATTCCTCCCCGAGATCAGGTTACTCGTCTTGTCGCTAGTTCAGGTTCTGAGCGGAAAACACAAAAATTTTTATTATATTTGATAAACATATTTTGGCTAGCTGCGGAAACATCCAAAAAATCATTTATTTTTATTTTCAAAATTAGCCGAAGTATGATTGAAGGATGGACAAGGATTGGACGATCAAGAAGAAAGAATGAAAAACAAGAAATATAGAAGTCTCAAAATGTTTCCATCTGATATCACATTGAAATTTAAAAGTATTGTAAAATTTAATTAAAATAATTAAAGTTAAAAATGTATTGTAAACTGCAATTAAAAGTGGTTAAGGATATTATACTATTGTTGTTGAAAGTCCTTGTGTGACAAAATTCTTGCTGGATTGTTATTTATTAAACCGTGAAGGTCTAAACCTCAACCATAGACCTATGAGTGTCGGCTAAAACATTATCTTCCTCTGGGTTTAAAGAAAATGTTGATGTATTACTATATTGCAAGTCTAACTTTCGTCTTTCTTTACCACACTTTATGGGCCCCACTGCACACTTTATGGGTCCCACCCCACTGCACACTATATGGGTCCCACTACACACTATATGGGCCCCACTACACACTATATGGGCCCCACTGCACACTNTGCCCTCCATACAGAAATGACAATGGCCGATTAGCAACAGTACCCTTAAAATCTGTGTCTGATCAAGTATGAATTATTAATTTTTAATTTTGAAAATTTTTTTAATTGTGGTTTCTACAAAAGAGCCTTTTGCATTTAAGCTATAGTAAAACATATAGGAATTATCTGAATTAAACACTTTAAACCCTGAAACCCTGCAATATATCTGCCACATTATTATTGATCAGATCGGGTTTCCCCATGAACTAATTGATAAATTTTCCGTTGATTTTAAAAGTAAAATATGCCGACACAAATTTGACAAAACTTGGATTTTATAATGAAGTTTTAACTGGATCACATCTACATATAATCTGTGTTAATACAAGAACATACCTTGATATATTTAAATCTAAAATTTGTCAACTTCCATGTTTATTGGAACACCCTAAACACCATGAAGGGCCGTATTCTTCCCTCAAAATAAATGTTCTGTCTAAAAGAAAACTCCATTTCTAAATAATCATTTTAATGTATTCCAAGAACACTCAATAGGCTAAAAATTATGAAAAATGAACAAATCTATATATAAATTTGGCTTGTCTGTCTGTTTTTTTTGTATCCAGGTAAACGTCAAAACGGCTGAACCAATCGGGCCCAATTTTTTTGTGGGACATCACGTGACCACAGGGAAGGTTAATTTGTGAATGATAAAAATTTTAAAAATGTGTTATAAAGGTTTTTAATTTTGTAAAAAAATTTTAATTCTTGAAAATCCGCGAATTGTTTTTAAAAATCCGCAAAAATTTTTTCTTCTTTGTTTTAAAATGTAAACAAAAAGAACATGTTCACAATTTAAATAGAAGATGGGCGCGAAGCGCCGTAAAAGCCTAGTATTTATATAGTTAATTTTATTTCTATTGTCGTCTCAAAAAATGTAGTAAATACAGGGATATTATTTCCATTTCTATCACTGAATGTTAGAAATGGGCTAAATCTGCAAAGTTCTCTTTTTCAAGAGTATATTACTTTAAAAATCCAAGACGAGTCGAACAAAATTACACCAAATATTTATAAAAAATGGCTAAAACTATATATTGAAACAATAAATGTCAATTTTAAACTAATAATAAGGTAATAATACGTAACAAAACAAGATTATTTGATAAGGTAAACTATAATAGAAAATAAAAGCAAACTGTTATTTTATAATTTAAAAATCATTACAACAATTTGAGAAATCAAGATATTAATATCAATTATTCTTACAATTTAGATTTAACTAGAAATGCGGGAAAAAGTTCGTTTAAACTTGAAAATAAAGTTTTTGTTTTGAATTGCGGATTACACTCAAAAACGGGAAAGTGGGTTTGTCTCGAAAAAGCGACAATGTTTTAAATTCAGGATATGTTCGAAAATGGAAAACCTAACATTGTCTTGAAAACGGTCGAGAGATTTATTATAAAAAGAACTCCTATTATAATTTTAATTTTTTTTAAAAAGTTTAAAATTGGGAATTGTTGTCCTCGTCATGGTTAACAAAATGTTGGTTATAGTTTTTACTATCGACTTTTACTCTGGATATGGGCGGGGATCCCAAAACCCAGTCTTTCAATTTGTGCCCCTTTCTAACACTAGTGTTAAAAATGGGCCGAGTGTTAGTTTTGGAACTAATTTCCCCTGGAATAATTACTTAATTTTTGCAGTAATCCCCAGTAATCCAACCAATTAGGATTAAGGAGACCTATTCCTGAAACATGAAAATCATTTGGTTCCTTTACTCCGGGTTGCTGAGTAACCCCTGCCATGGTTGGATAACCCCGTAGGAAAACGGAAGCTGAACTAGAAACGTGTTAATTGAATCAGTGTTGATGTTCTTATTCATTACAGGGATATATATATATTATATAGCCATTTCTGTAAATATATATCCATTTCAATATATATATACATCTTCCATTTTATTTATTATATCTTTCAATTAATTTGATATATCTTTCATTTCATTTATATTATGTATCTTCCATTTCTTTGATTAAATATTTCGTTTATTTATTATATCATCCATTTTATTTATTATATCTTTCATCTGATTTCATTATATCTTCCATTTCATTTTATATATATTCCATATTATTTAGGACATTTTTCAATTAATTTAATATATCTTCCATTTTATTTATAATATCTTTCATCTCATTTAATATATCTTCCATTTTATTTTTCATATCTTTCATCTCATTTAATATATTTTCCATTTTATTTTTCATATATTTCATCTCATTTAATATATCTTTCATTTTATTAATATATCTTCCATTTAATTGTTTTGTTCTTTTTTTCAAGCTCTTTCTTATTCCTCTAATAACCGAGAAAATCTTTCATTCTATTTTTTTTCAATAATTCTTTGCTTACAAATTCTTTTTTTAAACACAAAACATTTTAACCAATTCTATTTTTTACATTCTAAGAAAACTTGTAAATTAAATACTAAATATATTTTTAAAGCCTCCCAACTCTTTTTCAGAAGATGTTGAGGTTGCTGTGCCTATTGACCGTTCTGTTGTCCGTTCTCGAGACTGCTCTTGCGGACGGTTACGGTGGAGGTCACGGAGGACATGGAGGTCATGGAGGTCACTCTGGTATTGGGACCGCGTGTATAGTCAAGGAAACTGTTCATGAAATATTCAATCAATAAATAAATAAATTAAATAATCAATTAATAAATAAATTAATTTATCAACTAATAAATCAACTAATTAATCAATAAATTAATCAATTAATAAATGAATTTAAGTTGATGACTTGATTATTTAGTGAATCAGCTTTGTTTTTAATTATTTAATTTATTATTGTAAAGTTTGTACATCTGTACAATGTTCTGTACATGCATGAACACTTTACACTGTACAGGGCTCCTACTGCCAATGCCACTACTGTAAGTGTGAGAAAGGGCATGTGCATTGCTCTGGATATGGGTCCAGTGGAGGGGGTTACGGTAATAATAATAATAATAACAAAATACTAATATAATATAAATAATATCTATAATGTACTGCAGGGAAGAAGTACTGCTATGGAGGTACAGAAGGAGAGTACTGTCATTGTGATTACTGTAAATGTAAACATGGATTCGGGCAGTCCGGCTACGGCGGATGCAAAGGGCATTAAATTATGGCGGTTATTTTATGTAAACGGCGGAGTTTAAGGTTCATTCCACGTAAATTACAGTAAAAAAAACTTTTTTCGGTTTATTTACGTTTAAAAGTTTGAAATCATACGAAATGTAATTATTTGAATTTAATTTTTACAAAAAAAAGACTGAACCTTAATTTTAGGTTAAATTAATTATCCTAGACTGTGTAAATTTTAGATCTGTAAAACACAATTTGTACGTTTTAATTCCTCAAATAGATACTTTACTGCAGTCATATGTTATATTTTATACATTTTTTAGCTTTGTTAAGTTTTTTCTATAATAAATGTGATAAATATATATTTTTTTATATGTTATACATATAATGCTTATTTTAAAATAAATATAGTTCTTAGTTACAATTGATATTTAATTGTTTTTTTAAAGTTTTCTGTGATAGTTTTACTATTGACATTAAAAATGTATTTATTTTTATTAAAAAGTATTACCAAAGTGCAAATTTTATTATTTAATAATCTCCTACTGAAAATGAACATCCCACTGTGATTTTTCTTAATAATGTGTTTTTGTAAATATTTCGAAAATTCCATCTTATTTTAAAATGTCGCAAAATCAGATTATGTTCATTGAAAGTTTTTATTTCTGTCAATTCATTGGTAACTAGCTAGTCCAGAACATTTGACAAATTAGACACGAGATTTGGAAAGAATGGACACAATAAAAAGGTGAAGGGTCCTGACTGTCCAGTTTCNGGGGGGGGGGGAGAAGTCGAGATGTAACGGACGTTATAATAGGAAGAGGGGGAGGGGTGTTGCATAATAACCATTTCGATTAAATCCATAATACTAAACTTTAAGTGTCCATCTTCTATTTTAGTAACAATTTTTTAGATTATAACTGTTGCTTTCCATGTCGCCATTTTTCATCAGTCGTACACTACAACTTTACAAGAAGCAAACATTTCCGCGGATTTTCTGTGTAGAAATTGTTGCAATTTAAAAAATTATAAATGTCTTAATTTTTTTCGACTTGAAATGAGATATTGAGATATCCATGTTTATTTCTTTGAAAATTGCTCATTTTCAACTGTAGGATCTCTGTGAAATGAATCGTGCATTCTACTGCAAAAACAATGGAGAAAATTGTCAGAATTCAACACTTTTTACGCTTCCATATTATGCAGATAAAGGTGTATCGAGGGTTCTAATGTGAATCGACAATACATCTCTTTAAATGAAAGGTCATTCGAATTTACGATGTTCTCTTAAAGATTTCGTTTTATTTAGTTTTTATTTTGTTTAATTCTCCTTTTTTTCCATGTTTTTAGTTTTATTATTTTGAAGCGCAAGGGATGGCGTAAAATTTGGGTTGGGAGTACTTATTTTCAATATAGGAGTAAGGAGCCTGATAAATTACTCAAAACTTGTATTCACGAG